TCCTCCTCTAGGAACCTGATTTTAGTGCAATCTTGGCAAATCAACAGTGAATGCTTGGTCTAGATTGGCAAATGACTACCTGATTACAACTCCCCTCAAATATTCATAGAATGTGTGGAGCAGCACCTTGCAGACCAGTGGACAATAGTGGCAAGTTTGAAATCTCCCTAATGATTCCTTGAGCCAAAATCGAAAGGAATGATTAAAAATGTTAATTGTTCCATCTCTTTCTGTTTCTGCTTTGAGCTTTACTGGTTGAAATTGTTTGTCACTGGAGGTGTTGGGTCCATGGCCTACACTTCCAATGGAATCCTGCATGGATGGTCACATGCTTCTTTTTTGTTTCTTTGATGCTACAATGGGTGTTGTCCATTGTTATTGTGAGGACTCGCTCCTTTGTCTTGTAAATCAAATTTTAGGAATAATACAAACTTTACGTTCCGAAGAAATCATGTTTGGTCGATGCAGCAATAACGAAAGGACACGAAGAGATCATTATCTCTATGTATATAGAAAAAGAGCACTCTAAATCCACAGAATAACTCTGAAAAAGATATATAATTGATTTGATCAACTGCATAGAATCGTAGTACATAAGGCAATTTAGAGGAATCCCAAAATCCATAAAGGTTTCCAAAACGGACTTAAGTCCGTAGTCTTAGGAAAGTTATTAAAAACAGATAAACATATGTCTAATGAATTAAAAAATTGATATGGTTTAGGCAACCAAATGACTCTAGCTTCCTTATACAACAAATACACTAACGTAAACTCTGTTCAATGATATCACTCATCATTGTTTTTCTTATTTAAAAAAAAAAACACACCAAGGGATGTTAGGATGACAAGGTTGGAGTTGATTAAATATCTAAAAAGATATTATTTTTTGTTTAATTCAAACTCACCCAACTATCATCGGGATAGGACATAATTTAGTATATCCAATCATTTTTCCTATTTGGCTAGATTATACTTTTTTGTGGGGTTCATGGATAAAAGTGATATAATTTATTTCCATCGACTAGTATACCCATATTCTATCCAATACACTACCATGTGTGGTTTATAAATTAGCCTCCAACCCATTCCAAAAAAAAAACTTTCACATCTATTTTTTTCACAACTCATTCATATACAAAATAAATATTTTTAAATATATTATAACCATAAAAAATACACCTCATCAACATTCAAGCTAACAACATAAAATGTTAAAAAATTAACCAAGGAGATCTCCCGACATAGGGGTGGGCATATCTGTAAATTTCATTACATATCCAGTCTGGCAAAAAATATCTCAGTCCCCTCTCTTGGGTGTCATTTAACCCATATAGGTGAGTTAGAGGTGCCTTGTTAAATTGGGTTGGAATTTCCTATGCATTTTTTACGTACTAAACGTGAGATATGTGAATCCCACGTGTTTATTTATTCTTTCCGACCATAGTTATCCACCTTTAACCGGTGATCAAAGCATACCCCAAATAGCAAGTCAAACAAGAATCATGGAAGCTGAAGGGGCAGGATATTACGAAAAAAATGTATCAAAAGTAATAGTTTCAGCACGTGGACAAGTCATGTGCGCAAGTGTCAGACCGAGCTAAAATAGGCCGGGCCAAGGCTCAAATTCTGACCTGCTGGTAAGATCGAGAAGAATTAAGGTATTGACATCCCGAACCGACATAGGCGACACAATGACTAATCACCCAGAAGATAGAGAACCAAACAGGAAACTCTTAGCAAACATCATCAATAATCCCGAAGAATAAGCAAATTATGTAACGTTGGAGAAATCCCCGCCAATCAGCTGAATATCCGACGTAACGGGGTGTACCACCTCACCTCATAACCTAGGAAAACCCTAGGACAGTGAGAGGATCTATAAAAGGGACCAAATAAATTCAGGAAAGGTAAGCATAATTTTCTTTGCAATTCTCTTTGGTCTCAAATATCTATTGATTTAAGCATTGAAGTGTCTTCGATCGCTCAACTCCGATCCTAGGCAGTTTATTTGTTTTGCAAAGGAAGTTGCACAACATACAAACAATCCAACCACTCGAATCACATTATTAGAGGTAGAACTTCAATTTTACCACCTTATAGAAGCTTTAAAAGGAAACAATATTTGCACGGGTGATTTCCTGCAATAGTTGAAGATAACGATAATTTGGATGGTCAACCTAAATCAATCAAAAGATTAGGAAATGAGTCGGATGAACACTCGGCTAATTCCCTCCAAAACACAAGTCAGCCGACATTGGAGACATTAGCATAGTATATTTGTGAGTTTGGTTTGCATACCTTTGTTCATTTTTCTGAGAAGTATTTATACTTGAATAAGTAATGATTAGGGGGTCTGAGAGTCCCATATCAACATTTAATGGTTGTCACTCATATCCAAGCGTAATGAGTGCATCACAATCAAAACCCCTCATTCTTAACCTCCTCAGGGTAACAAAATAGTGCTCAAGGTACCCTGAGCATTAACTTCGTATAGCAGATCGTTTAATTCCCTCGGCTCGGTGCTTGACACCTATGCCCGTGCAGTAAGTGCTTGGGGAACAGCTGCCTCGAGGCTTGCTGAGGATAACAAGTCGGTATCACGATAATTAATGCTTTGCAATGATGATTATTTCTAGCGGTCTCAAAGTCCCAGAGGCTCATTAATGGATCTGTCATTGTCACTCAGGTCGTCATTAATGAGCTATCTTATCCTCTTCAATGCTGGGTTCAACCAACACACTCGGCTTTACCTTACCATAACTGCTCGACTCTTCTTTCACGCGCCCTTGGAGGTCCGTAACGGCTATAACCGTATACATGTCATCTTGAGGATGCTGAACCACTCTCGGCTTTACCTTACCATAATTGCTCGACTCTTCCTTCACGGGCCCTTGAAGGTCCGTAACGGCTATAACCGTACACATGTCATCTTGAGGATGCTGAACCGCCTAAAGTCCTGTCAAATATATTAGGAATCAAGTTGTCAGTGTTTAAATAAAAACTGGGAAATTCAAGCATTGCCGGCGTTTAATTAAACATTGCCTATTGAAGGTCCGATCGTTGGATTCTGGCGAACAAGCTGAGTAGAGCTGGCATAAATTTCCTAGCGTTTAGGGAAACACCGGTAGCTTTCCCCGTGCTGGTTTAGCCACCAGCCTGTCTTAATCATTGTCCTAGCCTTTGTCTTGTAGTGTTGCAAACTATTCTAGTATCAATTTATCATTGATGGGTTCAGGACATCAATAGGTTGGTCTGTCAAAAATCTTCCTAATAAATAGATCCTATTTAATTACACCTAAAACACCATACCAATCTGAATGTATATATACCACTATAAATAAGTCTGATATAGCTGCCACAAACTTTGGCGGCATTCGAGTTCTACAATTTAAAAACCCGACACAGTAGACCCCTGGACGGTTCAATTTGTCTAGTCCCATCCTATGCATGTAAAGAATAAACAGTAAATCATCCTGTTTACACCCAAAATAAATAAAATCAAAGAGTGACGGATAGAATAAATCCAACAACTAGGAAAGAGTCTGTGAGAGTTAAGAGTGGACAGAGCGTCTAGGGAAGCAGAACTCTTAAAATCCCAGGATACAAGAAAATGTGGTATCATAAACCCCCAAGACACAATTCAACGCACATCTACGTATCTCAAGGGTAAGGCCATGATCTACAGTGATGGCCGAAAAATATGGGTCAATGGTTGAAGATCATCTCTATAAATAACAAATGTTAGGCCATAGAAAAAATATTCACGATCAAACACAATAAACTCTACACAAATTCAACCTATTTTATATTTCTTTTTACTCTCAGATAACTTTATTTTTCTTGTAATCCATCACTCCAGTGATCTTTTACTATTTTCATTTAATGTTAAGCACATTATTCATTTTGTCTACTAGATTCACTTAACTTATTACTTTGCATTTCAGGAATCTTTTCTTATATTTTCGTCCATTCCGCTTTTAGTTGAGAAAATATTTTTGTCACACCGATCCAAATAAATAAAATCATACATATTTAAATTTTAAATCTAACTAAACTTTGGCACACTGGGAATAAAAAAAAAATATACCAACAAATTCATTGATGGTTGCACGAATCCACAACACCAAGTCTATGGCGTCCTCTACTATTGACTTTTGAAACACCGGTGATTGAACAAAAATTTCTGTAGGGTGGTCTAATGGGGTACCGGTCTTACTCCTCACTTTGAGGTTGGGAGTTCGAGTCTTGAAGTCTTCATTGGGACTTGACAGTTGACTGCTATGCTAGCCTAGTTAGATCTGATCCTGAAAAATGTTCTAGGCGTGATCAGAGGCCTTATAATCCTACTGGTGAGAGCCTATCGGGATGGTCAGACACTGTTTATTGCCCCCTGTCTCTTTCTTTTCTCAACCAAAAAAAAAAAAGAAAACAACTTCCATTTATCTACTATTCTTCCACTCGTTTCCAATGAATAATATTAAAAAATGACTCAGCTCATAAATTTTCTTGTGGTGCATTTGAACTTGTCTAAGGTACGTACCTATTATGGCATTTTACAAAGATACAAAATAATTTTTAATTCCTATATTAATTAGTGAAATATTAATAAATATCAATAAATGAATTATTTACATATTTTGATGAAAAAGATTAGGCATCCACATTTTAATTATATACAACACATTCAATAATTTTTTTTATAAAATACTTTCTTCGCTTTTTCACTTTGTTCAATTACTTTATCTATATAGCATAGGTCTTGCATTTTTGCAAATTACTAGTCAAACATGTTATTAATCTTTTAAGGAAATTGTTTTTGCTTTACAAAGACTATTTAAGAAAAGCATTATCTAAAGATACCTAAACTTGAGTTCTTATTTAATTTCTTTCGTTTAGTAATTGTCTAGCTTCAGAAAAATCAAATTGTTTGTACACCTTATAGAGATTAAAATCTTGGTTGAAGTAGAATCTTGTATTTACAGATTTCAATGGAAAACCAAATGTCTTACCTATCTATTCGCATTGATGAGAAGTACGCTTCCTCATCACATACAATATCTGTTAAACCTTATATCTTTAGAGTGGATGAGCTACTACACAAAGAAAACAAAATGAACTATGAACCAGAAATACTTGCAATTGGTCCTTATCACCGTAATAATGACCACCTAAAAATGATGGAAGAACACAAACGACGCTATATACAAGAGTTTCTTAAAAGAAGAAATGAGTCAAGTTTGGGTAGATATGTCGAAGCCATGGAAGAGTTAGAAGAAAAAGTAAGGAATTGTTATGCAGACCCCATTGAACTTGATAGGGATAAGATTGTGGAAATGATGCTAGTGGACAAAATTTTTATAATTGAAATACTCAGAGATTTAATAGTTTTAAAGTCAAAGAAGCAGATATTTCCAAGATATATTATTATTTGAAAATCAACTACCTTTGCTTGTCCTCACCCGCTTATGTGGCTTGGCCCATGAAGCAGACTTTTCAGTGGAAGTCACTTTTAAGGTTCTCTTTCTCACGCGAACCAGTTTCATTCGCCGTTATGAGTTTAGAGGTCCATTTTCGGAGGTAGATTTGCATCATCTTCTAGGCGTCATGAGTCATGGCATGCGTCCTTCATTTCTGGATGACCTGGATGGTGGCTCCATGTTAAATGCAGAGTTAACAAGATGTGCCAAAAAGCTTCAAGAAGCTGGGATTAAATTCAAGGTGAATTTGAGAAGTGACTCATGGATGGATATAGAGTTCAAAAATGGAATCATGAGAATCCCGCCTATGTTTATTGATGATGACACAAAGCAATTACTTAGAAATTTGATTGCATATGAGCAATATAATCACAGAAATGAATGGGCGTATGTGACTAGTTATGTGAAATTTTTGAATTGCCTCATCATGTCCCCAAATGATGTCAAAATACTTCGCCAAAAGTAAAAATTTTGAGATGGGCAAAAGGAAGGATGATGAATCTGAAGAAATATTGATTCAAATTCTTGTATTTTGTCATTCAATCATACACGACTTTAATGGCCCTTTTACAAAATTTGTTCCTAAAGAATAGGAGATAAGTATGAGATATCACATAATTTTAGGGATCAATCTTATCATCTTATCAATCTATTTACAACTAATTAGAAGATAATTATGCTAATCTTCAACACTCCCCCTCAAGTTGGAGCATAGATGTTGTGCATGCCCAACTTGTCCAGAATTCCATGGAAGAGTTGACTTGATAAGGCCTTAGTGAGAATGTCAGCAAGTTGATCTTGAGATCAAACATGAGGGACTTCAATAATCTTCGCTTCCAGTTTCTCCTTAATAAAATTTCTGTCAATTTCTACATGTTTAGTTCGATCGTGTTGAACAGGATTATGGGCCATGTCACATTGCCTTATTATCACAATAGAGTTTCATAGGACATGCTAGTGAAATCTTGAGTTCCTGCAATAGATTTTTAATCCATACTAGCTCACACACACCCTTAGTCATACCTCTATATTCAGCTTCTACACTAGATCTGGCCACAACTTCTTGTTTTTTACTTCGCCATGTAACCAGATTTCCTCCAACATATGTTAAGTACCCCGCGATTGAACGCCTATCGTCAATTGATCCAGCGCAATCTGCATCAGTATATCCTTCAACAGATAAAGTGTCTCCCTTAGTGAACATAATTCCTTTTCCCGGAGAAGACTTCAAATATCGTAGGATTCGTGTTACGGCATCCATATGATCTTCGCTGGGAGAGTGAATGAACTGACTAACAACACTAAGAGAATATGCCAGGTCGGGCCGAGTATGTGCAAGGTACATCAACTTCCCTACAAATCTTTGATATCGTTCTTTATTTGTGGGGATTTGGTCCGAAAATATACCCAATTTGACGTTTTCAGCAGCAGGTGATTCATTTGGTTTGAAACCTAACATGCCAACTTCATTTAGTAAATCTAGAGCATATTTCTGTTGTGACAAGAATATACCTCGTTTAGATCTTAGCACCTCGACTCCCAAAAAATACTTCAATGGTCCAAGACCTTCATTTCAAACTCACAAGAAAGGTAGGTCTGCAAAACTTGTCTTTCATCAACATCATTTCCTGTTACAATCATATCGTCGACATATATAATTAATACAGTGAGCTTTCCTTTATTATGTTTTATGAAGATAATGTGATCAGAATTGCTCTGTCGATATCCAAATGCCTTCATTGAACTTGTAAATCTGCCAAACCAAGCCCTTGGTGATTGTTTTAAACCATACAATGATTTTCGCAATCTACACACTTGTGTGCTTCCTTCAATCTGTAAATTACATCCTAGAGGCAACTCCATGTATACTTCCTCTAGCAGATTTTCATGTAGAAAAGCATTCTTTACATCAAATTGTTGTAGTGGCCAGTTAAAGTTCACAGCTAATGATAAGAGTATACGTACTATATTTATTTTGGCCACAGGTGCGAAGGTTTCAGCAAAGACAATCCCATATGTTTGACTGTATCCCTCGGCTACAAATCGAGTTTTAAATCTCTTAATGTCACCATTTGCTTTGTATTTAGTTGCAAAAATCCATCGACATCCCACAGGTTTTTTTCCAACTGGTAAATCAACCACTTCCTATGTTGCATTTTTTTGAAGAGACTTCATCTCCTCAATCATTGCTTCTTTCCACATGGAGTCTTTCAAGGCCTCCTGCACACTATTAGGTATATGTACAATAGATAATTGACTCGCAAATGATTCACATGTCTTTGATAACCTATGATAAGAAACATAATTGTTCAGTGGGTACTTAGGAGTAGAATTAAGAACAGGTTCATAACTGACTCTAAGAACTCCTCTTGTGGTACGATTAGGAAGTATTCGGAGTGGAGGTTCATGACTTACTTTAGGTTCAGTGACTGAGGATGACTCATGATGAGAAGTAGAAGCGTCAAGTGAAGACAATTGATGCTGTGGTCCAACTGGCTCAGTCATATTATCATAATCACACGGTGGAAGCTCAAGTGCTATAGGCTCACTCATTATATCCATCTGTTGCGGTTCAGTTGTGCAGCTAGATGACTGTAATTCATTTCTGTGACCAGGGAGCTGTTCAAGTCGAGTTACTGCAACAGTTTCTAGTTTTGTAGTTTCAGCAGGTTCAGGTTCTACAGTTTCGGTAGGTTCAGGTTAAGGATTATGGCTTATGGTTTCGGTTGGATGGCTAAGGGGCTGCAAGTCACCGATACCAATACTTTGCTCCCCCCGACTTGGAGTTGATGTTGCAGGATAATACATCTGAAGTTCATGGAATTTTACGTCCATAGTAACATGTAGTTTGCGAGTTGGTGGGTGGTAACATATGTATCCTTTTTGATGGAGGTCGTAGCCAACAAAGACACAGCGAAGAGCACGTGGTTGTAGTTTATGGTGAGTATGACCGGGTATGTGCACAAATGCAGTATAACCAAAAAATTTTGGGGGCAGGTTTGACACCAATGGTGTGGATAGGGTTTCATTTAAGGTTTCGAGGGGTGTATGGAAGTCCAAGCTACGGGATGGTATCCGGTTGATCAAGTAGGATGCAACAGTAAGTGATTCACCCCAATAATGAAGAGGCATATGGGCATCAAACAATGTTGCTCAAACCATTTCCAGAAGTTGTCGGTTTTTTCTTTCTGCAACCCCATTTTGCTGGGAAGTAGATGGGCATGTGGTTTGGTGAATGATGCCGTGAAGATATAAGAATTGCTCTAACTCATGATTTACAAATTCCCTGCCATTATCAGTACGAAGAACTTGAATGGAAGTCTTATATTGAGTAGCTGCCATCAAGTGAAATTGTTTAAATAGTGAACAAACATCGTGCTTTGTTTTCATCAAACACACCCAAGTCATGCGACTATGATCATCAATAAAAGAAACAAACCACCATGCACCATTAAGTGTTGGAATTTTTGCTGGCCCCAAATATCAGAGTGTACAAGCATAAATGGAAAAGGACTTTTATTCAAACTCAACGGAAAAGGAACACGATGGCTCTTTGCCAATGCACAAACTTCACATTTAAACAGTGACGGAGATGTATTGGTAAATAATTTGGGGAACAAATGCTTTAAGTATCAAAATGAAGCGTGTCCAAACTGTTTGTGTAACAACCAAATATTAGGAGTAGAGTCCGAACTAGTAACTGATAATGACTGAGCCAATGCACTTGAGTTAGATGGTGCGAGATCAAGATAATAGAGCTTTCCTCTTCTAGTACCACAACCAATTGTCCTCCGTGTCTTGATGTCCTTAAAGAAACAATGGTTAGGCCAAAAAATCACTACACAATTCAAGGAAGTGGTAATTTGAGATACAGATAACAAGTTAAAATTAAGTGAAGGCACCACAAGAACAGAATCTAAATTAAGCTTGTTTATAGAGAGGGAACCTTCACCAATAACTGTAGCTGAAGTGCCATTGGTTGTAGAAACAACATGGGTTTCAATGTAGGAATAGAAGCAGTATCAAAGGACATATGATCAGTTGATCCAGAATCAATAATCCATGTACAAGATCCAGTAAGAGCTGAGTTATTTAAAGGCTTACCTGGGGAATCAGAAGAAATATGTGAAGCAGTGGGGTCTGATATAGGCTCTCCGGCTTTGACAGTGGCAGTGGATGCAGTAGAAGTAAGATTTGAGTTACGTTTAGTTGAAGCCTTGGCAGGGTCCCACCATTCAGGATAGCCAATCAAGTCATAGCAGCGAGATTTAGTATGTCATGTACCACCACAACGAGTACAGGTTCTAGGAGGTCTAGATGATCCAAGGCATTTATTGCCAATATGAAAACTACGGGATGTTGGTGTGGAAGAAGCTGGAGCAGCACCAAGTCTGGTTCGACGTGTAGGTGGAGTGGATCTACTTGCTAACATGGCCACATAATTAGGAGTAGTCAGATCACCATTTAAGAGAGCCCGCCGATTTGCTTCACGACGAACATATGCGTATGTATGTTCAAGGTCCAAACTTGGATCCATGCGAAGAATCTTCCCTCGCACCTGTTCAAATTCAGCATCAAGACCATTCAAGAATATATGAATCCACAATTTTTCAACGAATTTTTTATATGCAACGATATCATCAGGATCCTTCATGGTAACGTTGTCACGGTGGTCAAGTTCTTGGAAGATTTCAACGAGTTCACCATAATATGTGGGAAGAGAACGACCAGATTGACGGAGGGAAAAAGCACGTTGATTGAGGGCAAAGATTTGTGTTTCGTCGGTGCCATCATAGAACGCTTTGGCAAGAGCACTTCAAATTTCACGAGCAGTACAGAGTCGGAGGTATCGCTCCATAATCTCCAGTGCCATTGATGTGAGTAACCAGCCTTTAATCTTTTGATTTTCGGCATACCACATGGAATACGAAGAATCCTTAGAATCAGGTTAAGGAGAATCACCAACAATGTAATTAAGTTTTTCACGGCCAGCGATATGAATTTCAATAATTTGGGACCAGATGTCATAATTGGTTTCGGTGAGGATTATGCCAGCATTAAAGCCAGAATTTTCAGATTGGACATGTATGACAGGAGAAGAGGATTTGGTGGTGGGTTCGGTTGATTCGGCGGCCATAGTGTGTGTAACAGGTTATAGTATGTGCAACAGGCTACAGAGACAAGGGATTGAGATTCAAGGATTTAGATACAAGAAAAAACCTACTCTGATACCATGAAAAAATATTGATTCAAATTCTTGTATTTTGTCATTCAATGATACACGACTTTAATAGCCCTTTTACAAAACTTGTTCCTAAAGAATAGGAGATAAGTATGAGATATCACATACTTTTAGGGATCAATCTTATCAATCTATTTACAACTAATTAGAAGATAATTATGATAATCTTCAACAGAATCAACTTTTAGCATGTTTAACAAATTGAGTGGTGCAGTTATCTTGCC